CAAACCTCCCCCAAACCTCACAGCTTAAAACAGCTATCTTATTTGCTATTCATTCTCCAGGTGTCGCCTACAGTCACTCAGGGCTCCAGCACCTGGCGATGCGCTGATTTGGTAGCCTCGGATAGCTTCATTGCGTGTGTGGTGGTTGATAATGATTGTCAGCTGGGCCTCTTTCTAGGTGGTCATTTGTCCTCCAGCAGTGTTGCCTGGCTTCTTCGCTTGTAGTCCCAGGGTTCCAAGAAGGCGAGGAAGATGTAGTGAAACCTCTTGACACCCAGGCTTGGGCTTTTAAGTCCCAAAGTATCATTCTCCACAGCCCATTAGTTAAAGCTAGTCCAGCCCACATTCACAGGGCAAGGCAATAGACTCCACCTCTTGTGGGAAGAACAGCAGTCACCCTGCAGGCAGATGCGCATGTAGGAAAGGGAGCGGTTGTTGCAGCTCTCCTTGCTAACAATCCATCTCAGATGTCGATGCTGCTGTTTTCTGGGCCCTGTTTGAGTAGCAAAGATTCAGGACATCTTGGCTTCTCTACTTCGGCTGCCTATTGGAATCACCGGGAACCTTTAAAAAAGACCAATGCTTGCTGGAGATAAAGATGCAGTTGGTCTGGACATCGGTACTTTTTAAATCTCCCGGATGACCCTAAAGCACAGCCTAGATTGAAAGCCACTGCTTGAGGAGTCTCTAGATAACTCCCAAGTATCCAGTGGAGTGTGGGCATATGGTTGTGAACACCAGAGGAGCTGGCTGGGAGTGGGAAGAGTATTGATGAAATGCATTATGGATGTGTTGAGAGATCTCCTGGTGAAAAGATCAGCAGATAACTCAGAGATGAGTCTAGAATTCCAAGAAGAGATTTGCATTGGACACAAATATTTGGGAGTTATGAGTGAGCCACTTGCAGTTAAGCTACGGTTCTTAGCTTTGAAGCCTTGACGATCAGTGAGCACCTAGGAGTTAGGAATGGGGTTTTGGGGTGCTAAGAAAGATGGCTGTCTCCTGCAGGTCAGTAGTTGTGGCCATGTGGATTCATCATTCAGCCAGCATTTGTGAGTGCCATCAATGTGCCTGGCACAAGATTTAGTGACCATGGAAGGGTCCTTAGCAACGAGAGAGGCAGGAGAATCAGTGTCAGAGTGGTCCAAATAAGACTTAACCTGGCCACCACTGCTTTTGAAAATGGAGGAAAGGGTCCATGATCCAAGGCATGTGGCAGTCTCTAAAAGCTGAAAAAGGAAAGGAAACGAATTCTTCCAGAATTTCTAAAGAAATGCAGCCTAGAGGAGATCCAAGATGGCTGCTCGGGTAGACATCTAACCGCGGCAGCACACAACAATTTCAATGGAATACAACTAAAATGTAGAGTGGACATTGCCCAGAGCTACAGGTAGTCGACTGACTGAAGATTTAGTGACCATGGAATTGCTTCAAGGATCAACTCTGAGAGCAAACAGGAAGTGGTAACATTGTGAATGTGCCAGGAGAGGAGGTGTCTCCAAAGTTCATGTTGGCCTCAGCCTGGACTACCTGGACACATATGAGAGCAGGGGCTACTATGGAAATATTTGTCTTAGCCAACTGTGCATGACACATGGAGCTGGGAAAGGGTACTACTAGGTACTAGGCACTGTGCTAGCTTTAAAGCATTTTCACTGACTAAAACCAGAGGAAAGCAATGTGGGCTAGTGGTTAGGAACTTGACTTCTGGAGCTAGATTAGCCTGGGTTCAAAACCCAGACCTGCTATTTTTTGTGTGTGATTTGGAGCAAATAACTTGGCATCTGAACCTCAGTTTTTTTCTTCTACACATCATTCTGGTGAGATCTCAAGTCAATCCACATTCAGCACCTGAAGCAGTCCCTGAGTTAAGTCCCCAATGTTACCTTCCTTTGATGATTCTTACACTCATCCCATAAAGCAAGTATTGGGTTTACAGATGAGAAAACTGATGCATGAAGAGGAAAATTACCTGCTTGAGGGCCACAGCAGTTCAGGATGCAAACCATAAGCCAAACATAACTGCATGGCTGCTGTCTCCTCCTCCCAACAGGTAGCAGAAGCACAGGTCACTCCACTCCCAAACCCCTTTTCCTATGGACAGGACCTCCCAGCCAACACTCCACTTCCCTTCCAGGTTGCATCAACGATCGAAAAAAACAGCTGAGGCAGCTGTTCCGCTCCCTTCAAAGCCAGAAGAAAGCTTCCAGCTAATACCCAGCTGCTGAGAGGCAAGCATCCCTGGGAGGTGCCATGTCATCCAGTCCTCTCCTCACTCCATGGCCAGCACAGCAGCACCTCAGAGCACATGCCTCCCTCCCTCTGGATGGGCCACAGCTGCTGCTGCTTGGGCCGGGTCTCCTGGATTCCCCCACCAACCCCTGGGCACCTTTGCACCAGGAGACAGCCAATCCTCTGGACTGGATGGGTTTTATCCTCCACAGAGTGGCTTATATAATAGGCCCAAAGAGTAAAAACGCAGCAAATTCGGCTATCCAGAGACAACACATCTAATAAATGAGCACAGGCCTTACTTGCAGTTACTGGGCACCAGGCTTGGCTCAGGGAATGCTGTGGGCTGCAGCGGTGTCCTCCTGGTGTCACCCTTTGATGTCTCCCAGGAGGTGAGTGTTGAAAGAGTCCTCCAAGAGTAGAGGATTCACGGGCTAAGGAACTTGTCTTAAGCTATGTTGGCAAGTAAGCAGTTATTAGATTGTTTATTGTGTCTAGAGGACTGAACCCTTTACATCTCCTTACAATACCCTGACCTTGCATGTCAGGGGAACCCGTGGAGCTCCCCTGGGTGAAAGGCAGCAGGCCAAAGCATCCCCATTTCTCAGAGGGATATGGACCAGGAAGGCAGAGCTGCTTAGTAAGGGTCCCTGCAAAGGGGCACTTCCCTAAGTCATCTGGGTGACAGGTCCTCTCTGAGCTTTCCTACTTGAGGTTGGGAGCTGAGTCTTTTAAACTAGAAAACCTTGTGCTGGCAGGCAAGGAGATAGCATTCCCACATTCCTACACCTCCTCTTAGTTTAGCAGGAGTTACAAGTGGGCTGGTGGGCTAGCTGCTCCATGGGGGACCCATGAGGGGGTCCCAGGCCGCTCCCTCTATCCCTCTTCCTGCTTCAGGACAGTTCTTTCAGCTACAGGAACAAACCTGACTGCCCGGGGACGGGAAGGGCTTTTGGAAGTGAATACTGTGAAGTCCAGGAAAGAACCAGGAAGCTCTGGAAAGGCCAGAAACCAGCCATTCTGGGCCTCCTACCTTCATCCCTGTGACTGAGGAAAAGCCAGACAGCCCAAGGCCTGGGGTTTACCTTTCCAGTAGGATCCAACTGGTTCTTTCTGTCCTAGTATCTACTTCGCTGGACAGGCAGGGGCAATGTTTCGAGGGAAATTATGAGCAAGACAGTCCTATCAGATTGTGTATAGCAAAGTGAAGGCTACTACTCCCTTCTTTTTAAATTTATATTTAAAAATATGCAATATAACAGCAACATGTTCTTTCCTTCCACCCCAAATATGTTGTTTGAGGGAACCAAATAACTGGTGATTGCATACAAATCACCAGCTTATCAGACACCTGTCCTGCCCCCTTGCTTTTCTCAATCTTGGAGCTTGTTCCAAATCAGTGCTCAAAGAACTTCCTTATTCTTGACTATAGCTGTGTAGTATCCCACTGCCTGCAGCCATCAATTCCTTTAATCTACTGTGGATATTTAGTTTCCAACTCCATCTCCCTACTGTTAGAGCCAGTATGTGAAGAACACACAAATTTCTATTTAAAAAAAACACACCCAAAACCAAAAACCAAACAAAAAACACCTCAAAAGGATGCAATGTCACAATTCTGAGCCAAAATTGACTTACGTAAGGTATTTTATTTGGCCAACACCAAAGTTTAAAAATTTTTTCTGAATTAGTAATATTTAAAAGACAGAGAATTCAACTTAAAAATCCAAATTGCTAGTTCCTCTTGAAGAAAACAAAGGATCTGGACATAGCAGCCTGTGTTCCAATAACACTGTCGGCAGCAGCTGAGTGCCGCAGGGGGCATGACAGTGTGCCTGCTATCATTTCAAGGAGGAGCCACTGCCCTTCATAGGTGGTATCCTAGGGGAGTGGTATGCCTTCCGTTAAGGACCAAGGAGGTAAAGAACAGAAGCAGCTACCCATTCATTAGGTAATCTTTATTGAAGCCTCAACAGGAAGACACCGTGTTGCCCTCACACACATTCACATTAGGACCCGAGACCACTGATAAGGGAACGCAGAGAGCAGCGCTGGCCCTGGCCCTGCTTCCGGGGGCGGCGGCGGGGCATCCTGAATGCATGAAGCATGTGAAGGGGCAGGCTCCCTCCCCCACCTCTGGGGCAGGACTCTGATGAACAAACAGCTGTAAGCAGCACCTACCGGGCTCCACTGGGAGCAAGCAGGAAAACAGGCCAACATGGAGCGAGTGGGGGGAATGGTATGTCTGCTCCACAGATAGTTGTGGGGAACCATGATGCACCCAGATCCTGTCCTTCATTGAGAAACCACCTGTGAGCTTCCTCTTTATTCCAATTGTTACACATGCTGTTTGAAAATGTCTCGCTTTCCGAGAGGAATGCCGGAATGAAGCTCCCACTCTTCCCCTCTCCCTTCTCCCCTGCCCGGGCCCGTTTAAACAGCAGGCCACTGTTGAGAAGTGTCTGTTGCAGTCATTCTCAAACCCCCACAGGCGCTGCCCCACCCACCCACTGGTGGCTGCTAGGCCTGTCAATGGGTCTTGTGTCCATTAGCCTCAGCGGTCAGGCCCACAGGCACTGGCAAGCTGAGGTTCCCTCCGCTTTCACAGAGCCGTCAAGCTCTACAGATAAAGAGGCTGCAAACAGGAGCCAGGGCCAGACTGCTGATGCTGTGCCCTTGCAGGGCAGGTCCTGCCCTTGGATAGTTCTGGGTCCTACATGATCCCAGAGGGATGCTGGTTTCAGGCCCCTTATCTAGGTTCTTGAATTTCATCCTTTCAAGATGATCTTGAGAGCTTTAAGTTCATCCTGGTTGAGGGGGGTCAGGTTAAAACCCTTCAGCTCCGGTTTGCCTAGAGGGAGAAGACAATCCATCAGTGCGTTCAGGCCTCCTGTTGTCCAACCTACTGGCCCCGGAGTCGGGCCTGGGAAAGGAGCTCACACTGCATTCATACTGTCAGACTCCTGGCTTTGAGGTCTGACAGGGAAGGGCCTCAAATCTACAAAATACTGAACAATGAACATTGACATCCACTACTGACACATCAAGATCCTGCAGAATTATGACTCTGCTGGCCAGAAACATCCAGATTTCTGCCAAACCTATGGCAGAACTGAAGTGGTAAGGTTTACCTAGAAATTCAGCTTCTGAGTCCAAGCTGTCCTGGTCCCCATACCATGCCCTAGCACCGTGGTCAGCAAACTGCGGCTCTTTGGCCCCTTGAGTGTGGCTCTTCCACAAAATACCCCGGCCTGAGCGAGTTTATTTTGAAGAAGTGGCATTAGAAGTTTAAGTTTAAAAAATTTGGCTCTCAAAAGAAATTTCAATCGTCGTACTATTGATATTTGGCTCTGCTGACTAATGAGTTTGCCAACCACTGCTCTAGCATAAAATGTAAGATACTTCAGGCCATTTGTGAGCCTGAAAAGAATCTGTGATAGAAGACCCCACAAACTTCCTTGTCCATTCTATCTCGGGAAGGCTAAAGACAACACTGCCCCCTGCCCACAGCTTCAGTGCCACTCACATGCTGTCCAGGCCATGACCCACCGGGGAGGGGCTTCCCAATCCTGCCCTCTAAGTCCATGTTGATGGTTTTGTCCCTTCCTGGTTTCTTCCCCCTCCCCCACCTACCTTGGGCCTCAAAGAGGCGGTTGACCTTCACTTTAAGTTGTTTTCGGAGTTTCTCAATTTCTTTATCCAGATGATCCTGATCTGAAAAACGAGGTGGGCAAATAGGATGAGGTTATGCTACAGACACAGTGACCCAAAAGGAGTCGGGGATGCCAGCCTCTCCCTAGCCCCTTTGAGAGCAAGGGCTCTCAGCATTAGGAAGGAAAAGGGGACTTCACAAACTAACTGAGGCAGGAACCAAAGGCTAGAGAAGCAACGTGACCTGCCCACAACCACTGAGTGAGCCCAGGATGGGGCTGAGCAGACCAGTCCCCTGACTCTCAACCTCCTGACCTGTTTTCACTACGCAAATACCTTGGGCTAGTTGGTGCATAGGGGAGGCAACGTCAGGATTTTAGGTCACCCTTCCACAGTGAAATTAGAGAAAATTCAACTGAAAAAAATAAAACTAAGAACCTACAGCATACTTACCCTGTGATGACTGGAAAATGAGTGGCTAAGGGATTTTATAAACTCAAGTTCACTAAGTAGTTTTTAGAAAAGCATGATTGTGGTAACATGCGACCTAAACAACCTCACAATCAATAGGCAAGCTGAATGCTCAGGCCTAAACTAATCAGCCTCAGTGGATAGAAGAGGTTCTCTCCCCTTAACAGACTGCACCTGAAAGCAAACTGCCTGTGCGAAGTGGAAGCTGCAAAGCTCAATTTCAGAGGTTACATCTGACTGTCACTCAGTCCTCTCCACCTGCTGTTCTCACCTGCTCACAGGAACATCTGAGCTAGTCTGTCTTCCCCACAGGCTTTCATTCTTTCTGATGAGAAGCCCCTGACCAGCTGGGCCTCTGGTCTGGGCAGTGGTTCTACTCAATCTTTTAAAATTGGTTGGTTGCTCGCCCGACTGGTGTAGCTCAGTGGGTGGGAGTCAACTCAGGAACCAAGAGGCCACTGGTTCAATTCCTTAGATTCCAGGGTTGTGGGCTCAATCCCCAGTGGGGGTGGTGCAGGAGGCAGCCAATAGGTGATGTTTCTCTCTCATCAATGTTTCTATCATTCTATTCCCTATCCCTTCCTCTTTCTAAAAAAAAAAAAAAAAAAGTAAAAACATATTCAAAATAAAAAGGGTTGCTCAATGTAAATGAGTAACCCTATGCTTACAAACTTGTTTTGCCTGTGTCAGTCACTGAGAATTATAATGATGCTCCAGAACCCCTTTGGATACAGTTAACATGACCACATTTATGGGCTGAGACAGCTGAAGATCAGATCCTGAATCCAGGCAAGCAATCCCCTCTGAAAGCATCCTCCAGGCTACCACCCTAATGCAATGACAACTTGATTTTATAAACATGTTAGTGTGTTTTTCAACAGGACAACCAGAAACTTCTATTCCAAGCTAATCCTTTGCTAGAATTTTTATTTCAACAGGGATAGAGGCAACCTTGCTGGTCCTCTTTCCTATACATTTTCAAGGGTAGAAAAGAGAGAATATGTGTAACCTGCCCTTTTCCAGACAAGGACACATTTGCAACCCAACTTTTTACCTTTATGATGCATCTCCAAAGAGCTTTGGAAATGGTGGTCATGCATATTTGAGAAACATCTATTTAGTTGCCGACCCTAAGGTTCACTCACCCCAAGCCCCCATTTCAACAGTCTCTCTTATCGGGGATGTTAAAATAAAAGCTCACTGTGCCAGGCTCCCTGTATCGATGGGGCCTGGCTAAGAGATGTCAGCAGAAGGCCTGAGGAGGACAGCCTAATTTCCAAAACAGAAGGCAAGGCCATAATCGGGGTGGGAAACCTTTTTTCTGCCAAGGGCCATTTGGATATTTATAATATCATTCTTGCACTATAACAAAATTATCAGCTTAAACATTAGCCTGGTATGTTTGGTCAAACTTTTAACTCAGCCCTAATGCGTTGGCAGGGCCAGACCAAATGATTTCCTGAGCCTTAGACGGCTCCTGGGCCAGACGTTCCCCACCCCTGCCATATAAGGAGAAAGCCCTTCACCTTTCCTCCAGCCTGGCACGTGGACATGCAATGATGACACAACCACCCTGAGAATATGCTAAGGCGACACTGCTGAACAACAATGCCAGTCCTAGATGGCTGACTCCAGATAATTTCTTACATGAGAAAAACAACCAAAATTTTTAAACCTCAATTTGTTGAATTTTCTGTTATTTGTGATCCAACTTGTTCCACAGATAAGCATTATGCTAGACACACACACCGGTTTCTCTCAACTTCAAAAAAAAAAAAAAAAAGTGCTACAGAGATGCACCCCACCCCAGGGGGAGGCAGCTGTTCCCTGACTCATGCCCAGAAGGCCTTACCTTTCTCAATCATTTCCTTCGTCTGAGAGTGAGGCATCTTGATAAACATGTTCCCAAAGCAAACCATCACATCTTCTGAAATGGAAAATGGTAATTCCTTCAACAAATATTCTGAGCACCTGCTATCCACTAGGCACTGTTTTAGACGCTGAAGACACAGCAGACCAAGACAAAGGTCCTGCCTCACAGAGCTTATAGTGGAGGAAGGGGAATAAACAGGCAAAGGTATCACTTGTCAGGCCGGGCGGGTCTAAGCACTGAAGAGACAAAGCAGGTACGGGGGCTGGGGAATGCCAGCGAAGGGGAGACTTGTTACACCTGGTGGTCTGAGAGGCCTCACTGATTATGTGACATATGGACAGAGACTTGAAGGAAGTGAGGGTGTGAGCTCTGCAGCAAAAAAATCAGTGATGTGCTTGGGGTATTAGAACAGCAAGGAGGCCAGTAAGGATGGAGTCAGTGAGTGAGGGGGAAATAGAGATGATGTTGGAAGAGTGAAAGGGAGTCTGGATTACCCCCAGATAAGAGTGAAAGGGGATCTTGCAGGACTCTGGATTTTACTCTGGTCAGATGAAAAGCAACAGGAAGGTTTTAGACCTTCCAATGCATTTTAAACAAAATTCAAACTACTTCGCTCATTATGGCCTGGTCTCTGTCCATCTTTCCAGCTTCATCACGCCCTTCCTCCTTGCTTATTCTGTCACAACACTTGGCCTCTCAGAGGCCTCCATCCCATCCTCCAACACCTGCCCCATCTTCAGCTTTCTCACAATTTCCAATTACGTATTTATGTTGTTCTGCTCATTTGTACTGTTGTTATACCCCCTCCCTTACCTTCCCAGTGCCAACATTGATAAGCCAGCACCTACAGGCCTGTCATGGAGTTGAGCAGCTGAAACCCTGAGCCACAGTCTGTGTGAGACCTGTGACATTTCCTCCCCCAGCTCCATGGGTGTGTCACCCCTGTGGCCTCCTGCCTGGTCTCTGTTAGGGACAAGGCAAAGCCTTCTAAGCAGACTGAACAGGCCTCCTGGGCTGTGGTGAGGAAGTCTTGACTTACCAGAGAGGCTGAGATCTTTCTGTAGGGCCCTCAGGCCCTCTCGGTTCTGATTCCTTTTGGTGTCCAGGTCCACAATCTGAAAAGCAAAGAGATAGGAGAGAGGTCAGCTACTTCTTGCCCCAGCTTGTCAGCTCCCAACAGACAATAAGGCATTGTTCCTGGGCACTTCCAGTGTCCTAAGATAGACCGGTGTGTGAATGTACTTCCCCCCCTCAGCTTCCAGGTCCTTTTACAGACCGTGCGTAGTGCAGATGTTTTACCCCCAGAGAAGATGCTGGGAAAATGTGGACTAAACAGATTATTCTTTATTATCCACTCGAGAGCTAGTTCTCAAGTGTTAGCATTTCAGAATCCTTGGAGAGTGGAAACCTCTCCCTGGGCAAGCTCCCTCAGCTGATTCTGAGCTGGTATCGTGAGAAACCCAACCACATGAGACTGGAACAGAAGGGGTAGGGCACTGAAATGGTGGTAACAACACAACAGCTACATATACCACGTTAGAACACTGGCTCTGGAGCCAGAATACCCAGGTTTGAATCCTGCTACACGCTCGTAACTGTGATTTCACCTTCCTCACAGGTTACTGAGCCGGGAACGAGATGGATTATCAGCACAGTGTCTGACACCAGGTGTGTACTCACAAACTGCTATTATCATCATCACTCAGCACACTGATGCAGTGATTAAGTCTTCCCCTTCTCGGTAAAGACCCAACCAACTACCAATCAGTCATCCTAACTGGAGATGGGAAGTAATGAATCATTCTTGTCTCCTCCTACTCCCTGGCCCCTGTGCACTACTAACCATCATCAAGACCTAGTAACCCGATGGCAGTGGATTAAGTAGAAGCTATCCTGACATTCTCCCAAACTAGAAGCCCTTACAACAAAGGTTGTAAAGAGGAGGCCACATCAAGACTGGTCCATCGCTAGCTTTTATTATGCCATTTTCTTAAAAAACAAAAAAACAAAAAACAACAACAACAAAAAAAAACAACTTGATTTTTACCAATTGAAAAGTAATGAGGTTGTATTGATTTTAGTGGAACAAAATCTTTACTGCCACTGTCCGAAATTTTTCAAAATAAATATACAACACTAAAAAAACAAAACAAAACATGCCCATCTCCAAAATAGATTACGGCCCCATCTGCTGTCTCCACCACCACCACCCTGGACCAATGGCCCCTTGCCTTCCTATACTGACCGTGCTCCCCGGAGAAGCCGGAGGGATCCTTTAAAAACCTTAATCCAAGTACGTGACCCTTTGCTCCCCTCCTCCCCACCCTCCGCAACTCCCTTCAACCAGCTGGCACTCCCAGGAGAACCAGGCCCGAGTTCCCTGTAAGGTCTACAAGGCCCCCCAAGCCCGGGGTCCATGTTCCTCCCAGGGCCCCACCCCAGAGCAGCCACAGACCCCCAGACCTCTTTCCGGTTCCTTTTCTCCCCTCCAAGGCCTTGACTGGGACGATGCCCAGAACTGCCCTTTGGAAAAGGGGATCAGGTAAACTGCCCAAAGGGGTGATGGTTCGGGAACGGAAGGGCACAGTGAAGCGCACAGGAAGGATGGAGAGAGGACCGTTAGCACAGAGCGGGTGCTCCCCTAACACGTACGTCTGCAAAAATGGGTGAGGCGCGACGCTGTGCCCACATCGCCTCAATCTGCCACGTTTGTGGCCACCGCCGTCAGACCGGGTAAACTCAGTCCGGGTGAACTCTGCCAGCGCCGCCGGGGCCAGTTCCGGACCCCGCACTTCCCTGGGGCGATCGCCCCCAGGCCCAACAGCTGGGCCCGGGCCCTGCGCGGCGGACGCGCCTCCTACCTGCCGCTTGTCCGCCAGCACCGCCTCGGCGAGCTCCTCCACCTCCACCAGGTACCGCAGCACCCGCTCCGCCTCGGGGGACAGCATGACGCCCGCTTCTCCGACCCCACTCCGGCTCCAGGCCCGCTCCGGCTCCGCGGCGGCGCCTTCTGCGCACGCGCCGCTCGGGCCGGGCTTCCGGCGCGCATGCTCAATTAGAAGAGGCGCGGCGGCGCGCTCGCGCACGCGCACGCGCTCCACGACACCGCTGTCAGGGCCTGCCTTTCCGGGCCGGGAGCGCCCCCTGTAGGCCCAGAGAGCACAGTCCTCAGGGCTCCTCTTAACCTCTGCCTTCCTCTCTTCATATGTTTTGTTAGTTTGTTGTTAATCCTCACCGGAGGGTATTTTTTCCATTGATTTTTAGAAAGTGGAAGGCACACACACGGAGAAACATCGACTGATTGCTTCCCGCGCGCTTGGGCGAGGGATGGAGCCTGCAACCAAGGTCCGTGCAGTTGACTGGAATGGAACCTAAGACACTCCATCCACGGAGCCAAGCCGGCTAGGGCTCTTCATATATTTCTCAAGCAGGCAGCTTTAGGAGCTGAGAATGCAGCAGTGAACAAAACAAAGTCCCTGCCCTCATGAAACTTCATCCTAATGGGAAAATCCGACAATTGATATAAAATAATTACATACGATAGCTGGCAGAGATAGGGCTGGAGAAATATAAATTATTACTTCCCTGTTTAAGGGACATTAAGGAAGCCCACGTAGCAGTGTGACTTTTATTTAACCTCTGAGACCTTAAGTTTATAATTTATGAAATGGGAGTGAATAAAAATATTTCTCATGGTCTTTCTGCAGGATCAGAAGAGGCAGGAATCATTTTCAACTCAGTTTGACCAGTGTTTGTTGAGTCCCTGTGTTGGGACCAATGTCCGGAGGAGTTGACCTAGACCAGGGGTCGACGGTCTGCAAACCCAAATATCAACAGTACAACGATTGAAATTTCTTTTGAGAGCTAAAGTTTTTAAACTTAAGCTATATAGATAGGTACATTGTTATTAACTTAATTAGGGTACTCTTAAGCTGGCCTTTGCTAAAAACTCAAGGGGCCAAAACAGCTGCATGTGGCTCGCGAGCCGCAGTTTGCCGACCACTGACCTAGATCCAAGGAAATGGCTGGAAAACAATGAAGTTCTGTAAGTGCTGAAAAGCAAATCAGTGTGGGCTGTAGGATCCAGCGGAACCTTCGAGAAGAGGCAGGTTTTTAGAGAGTGGCTGCCCTTTACAACCAGATGGTTCCCTAGAGATCACACCCCAGCCTTCATTGTAAAGCTGGAAACCCAGGCTCAGAGAGCAGCCATGACTTTAAAAAGTCAACAACAGGCCTGACATTAGAATTCTGACCTCCTGCCTGAGTCCAGCCTTTTATCCCCTCCTTTTGGCCCCTGTGACCAAGTGCTTTCACACCCCTTCCCTCACTTGAACTTCACAACCTTTGTCTGGATGGGTTCTTCCCACCCCATTTCACAGCTGCAGACTGAGACTGGGAGAGGGGTGATGCCTTGTCAGGCAGAAAGTCAGGAACAAAGGAGGGTCTAGAAGCTCTGATGCTCACACCACAGCTGTCTCTAGTCCCTGAATCTGTGGCCCCACAAGTCTCAGTGGCACCTCCTCTTGGCCTGGCCTTTGGCTGCCTTAACCTGCCAGAGGCAGAGCTAGTGTTCCCCGCAGCTGCCTGGTGTGGAGAAAATGAGACTCATTAAAGATTTCTCATTGAGGGTGAATTTGTTGCAAAACCCAGGATGTTTTGTGTAAACACCTTCTAGTTCAGAAACACACACACACAAGCCCTGGGAAGGAAGGGGGGACATTTACCAAAGGAGGAAAAGGGCTCAGCATGCCTCGCTGGGGTCTGGGTCCCAGACTGGGCCTCCTCCACCATGGGGCTCAAAGAGAGCTGGACCAGGCCGACCACTGAGCACTGCCAGATGGGCCTAGACCGGGAAAGGCTGAGTTGTGGGAGGCTTCTAAATTGGCAGCTTGTTGGCTGTGACTGGCCCTCAGAGGATGCCCCTTCCACTGGAAGTGTTGGGGAGGTCATATCTGTGGGAAGCCGTGTTCCGTGGGGCCCGAGGGCAAGGATGGAGCATAGGGTAGGGACGCCTACCTGCTCTCCTACAGGGGATTGAGCACAGGGTAGGGACGCCTACCTGCTCTCCCCTAAGCCTTCGGGTCAACCAAGGACAGGGCAGACCATAGCCCCATTGTTAGAGAGTGCGCGTGATGCACGACTTAACTGGATGTTCTCAGCTAGGCTGTTCTCAATGATATCTAACCAGACGCTTGCTCTGTGTATCTTTTCCAAGAATGTCTTGAGGGGCTGACGAGCGGCCTTGTCCTGGGAAAGGGGCACTTGGAGAAATGCCCAGAAAAGCCGCATAAATGTACGCTTGCAACTAATAAAGTTACTGCAGTCTCATCATGGACTAGCAGTCCTCCTGAAGTCCCGCTTTCTCTTGTCTTTATTTCTCTTAAAAACCTCCTAGCCCTACCTCCAGGACCTGTGATGCTGGACCTGTGATGTCGGCTGGATCCGGTACATATCCAAGACAGATAGTCAAACTGGAAGGACTCTTGTTTCAGAACCACTTCTGTTTCAGAACCATTGATTTCACAAATATTTTCTTGGCCCTATTTTAGGGATTCCACCATGAGCAAACCTAGACATGGTCATTGCCCTCAGAAGCTTCCAGTTTGGTGGGAGAGACAGACAATAAACATATGAAGAAGTAAATATATCCTATTAAGTGATGATAAGTACTTTGGAGAACAATAGAGCAGGGCAAGGCGGAGAGGAAATGGTGAATATATATTTAAGAATAGAAGAGTTGGTGGCTACATACCCCAGTTTCTTTGCTCCTCTGTAAGATACCCAAGAGGAGACTGCTACAACCATCCAGGTAAGATAGGATGATCACTGAACCAGGGCGGCAGTGGGGATGGTGAGCACTGGTGGGATTCTCAGGGACTTTGCATACATTTCTCCATCAGCCTGGATTAATTTTTTTACCCTTTGTACCCATGTAACTACTACATTACTCCCATTTATCAGCTTGGTGTCACCTCCTCTCACAGTCAAGAGTCCCCTCTGGCCTTGGCAGCATCTTGGGCTTCCCTACCACTGCACTCACCACACCATCTTTTTTCTCTAGTCATCTCCCTCTCCAGTCAGGAGCTCCTCAAGGCTGGGAACCTTGCCCGTCTTGTTTGCTGCTGTGTCACCAGAACCTAGAATGGTATCTGACCCACAGCAGGTGCTCAGTCGATGTTTACTGAATGAGTGAGTGGACTCAACGTGAAGCAGAACTTTCTGCAACCCAAACTGTCCAAAGGTGAACAGAGCTAAGCAGTACCTCATCCCAGAAGGTATGCAAGGCTGGACAGCCACAGGGTCAGGATCTTGCAGAACGTGAATCCCTCTGAGTCCTGGTTGGGAGGTGTGCCTACAGTCTTTTCTAACCAGAGAAACTCTACCTGGTCACATTGGGGTATCCCTCCCATCTTTACCCACCCCAAGTCTGAGCCAAAAGGGCTGTGGTGCTGGGGCTCTGGTGTTTGGGGACTGGAGCCAATAAGAATGATGCTTCAGCCGAAACCGGTTTGGCTCAGTGGTAGAGCTTCGGTCTGTGGATTGAAAGGTCCCGGGTTCGATTCCGGTCAAGGGCATGTACGTTGGCTGCAGGCACATCCCCGGTAGGTGGCGGCTGGTCGATGTTTCTCTCTCATCGATGTTTCTGGCTCTCTGTCTCTCTCCCTTCCTCTCTGTAAAAAAATCAATAAAATATAAAAATTAAAAATAAAAAAAATAAAAAAGAATGATGCTTCATCCATTTCCCCTTGGGCCCCTATTTACCACTTCTGTGAGCCTCCCTGGAGTAAGTGTTCAGCAACCAGCACTGGCTCCTCTCCTTGGGGAGGACTGCCCTCAGGCTTCTGGAGCCACATGGGTGACTGACTGTACCCCATCATTTCAGGGATTTGAAAGCCCACCGTTTTGTTGTTGTTGTTGTTTTAATATATTTTGTTGATTTTTACAGAGAGGAGGGGAGAGGGATAGTTAGAAACATCGATGAGAGAGAAACATCGATCAGCTGCCTCCTGCACACCCCCTACTGGTGATGTACCTGCAACCAAGGTACATGCCCTTGACCGGAATCGAACCTGAGACCCTTCAGTCCACAGGCAGATGCTCTATGCACTGAGCCAAACTGGTTGGAGCAAAAGCTCACTGTTTTGCCTGGGCTGCTGGCATGCGTGTGGGTGGGTAACGCTGGGGTATAATTACACTCCAGAGTTCCCCTGTGGGATAAGGCTGAAGCAGCCACCTACAAGGCACCCTGCTTGGCTTCCTCTCCTTCCTGGTTCTGTCTCGCCTACTCCCTTATGGTCAAAACCTTCCAACACTCCCATCTCACTCAGTGAAAGCCAAACTCCTCACTGAGCCACACAAGGCTCCACATGAGCTGCCTACCTCACTAAGGCACCGTCTCCCCACCTCTGTGCTGTTCCTCACACATACCAGGTGCAGTCCCACCTCAGGGTCTTTGCACTGGCTGCTCCCTCTGCCTGCACTTTCCCCTGGTGTCTACATGTCTTCTACCCTCACCTCCTACAAGTCTTTGCTTAAAAGTCACCTTCTCAATGAGGTTTATCCTGACCACCCTGTTTTGAAAATGCAAGCCCCCACTCCTCCCAGTACTCCTGATCAACTTCCTTTGCTTTAGTTTTTTTAATAACATTTGCCATTTTTGAGCATGCTATATAGTTTACTTATTTATATTTTTTAAATTTTATTTCTTGATTTGAGAGAGAGAGAGAGAGCAATTTGTTGTTCCACTTATTTATGTTCTCAGTGGTTGATTCTTTTATGTGCCCGGACTGGTGATTGAACCAACCAAAGGCTTTGTCATATGGGGTCAATTCCCTAATCAACTGAGCTTCCTGGCTAGGATACTTCTATTTATTGTTAACCTTCCTCTGCTATAAAGGAAGCTTCATGAGGCCAGCGACCTTTGTCTGGTTTGTTACTGATCTCTCCC